ATAATTTTGGACAAAACAAGCCAAAAACATACAGTGGAGAAAGGAAAGCCTCTTCAATAAATGGTGCTGGGAAAACTGGAAAGCCACCTGCAAAAGTATGAAACTAGACTGCTGTCTATCACCACACACCAAAACTAACTCAAAATGGATTAAGGACCTGAATTTATGACCTGAAAAATAAGATGCATAGAAGAAAACATAGGAACTAAACTCAAGGACCTTGGACTTAAAGAGAGGATTTTATGAATTTGACCTCAAAAGCAAGGGAAGTAAAAGCAAAAATAAATGAATGGGACTACATTAAACTAAAAAGCTTCTGCTCAGAATAAGAAATCATCAACAAGGTAAAGAGACAACCATCCGAATGGAAAAATATATTTGCAAGCAATGCCTCCAATAAGGGCCTAATGTCCAAAATATACAAAGAACTCATACGACTCAATAACAACAGAAAAACAAACTATCCATTCAAAAAAATGGGCAAAAGATCTGAATAGACACTTCTCCCTAGAGGACATACAAACGACCAACGAATATTTGAAAAGATGCTCAACATCGCAATCTATTAGGGAAAATCAAATCAAAACCACAATGAGATACTACCTCACTCCTGTTTGAATAGCTATAATCAACAGGACAAGTAATAACAAATGTTGGAGAGGATGCAGAGAAAAAGGAACCCTCATACGCTGCTCGTGGGATTGCACATTGGTACAGCCACTATGGAAAACAGTATGGAGGTTCTTCAAAAAACTAAGAATTGATCTACCATATGATCCAGCAATCCCTGTACTGGGTATTTACCCCAAAGATTTGAAAACCCATATCCGAAAAGATATTTGCACACTAATGTTCATAGCAACATTATTCACGGTGGTCAGGACATGGAAGCAACCGAAGTGTCCTACAATGGATGACTGGATAAAGAAGCTGTGGTATATATACACAATGAAATATTAGCCAGCCAAAAGAAGAGATGAAATACTGCCATTTGAGACAACATGGGTAGACATCAAGATAATCATGCTAAGTGAAATAAGCCAGACAGAAAAAGCTGAAAATTGCATGATATCACTTACATTTGGGATATACACCTAAAAGCAACAAATGAACAGTACAAACAAACAGAGACTCATGGACATGGACAATGGACTAGTGGTTACCAGAGGATAGGGTGTAAAGGGGGTCAAATATGTGTGACAGAAATCTAACTATGGAGGTGAACACACAGTGTAAATATATATATGCCTTACAGTTAAAGCGTCCAGCTGAAACATTGGATTTCGTTAACCAATGTCACCATTAAAAAGTTAATTAATTTTAAAAAAATACATGAATCCTAATGCCCAGCCTTTCTACTCCTAGACCCAAGAAAAATTAAGATATGTGTCTACAAAAAGACTTGTATGAGATATTCATAGCAGCTTTATTTTAAGAGCCAAAAACTGGAAACAGCCCAGGCATCCATTATTAGGAAGATGTGCAGTATGGTCACATAATGAAATACTATTTGGCTGTAAAAAGTAACACACTATTGATGGATGAATTTCAAAACCAATATACTGAGCAAAAGGGCCCATAGAGAAGAGTACATTTCTATAAAGTTCTGGAATAGACGAAACTAATCTGTGGTGGAAAAAAAATCAGCACCGTGGTTGTACTGGGTGAGGGAAGAAAGAAGAGAATAACTGGGAAAGGGCATGAGGAGCTTTCTGGGGTATGTTCTTTATCTTGAAAAGGGCTTGGAGTACCCAAGTGTTTGTCAAAGCTCAAGAAATGTACACTTAAAATGTGTCTATTTAATTGTATTTAATGTTACTGCAAAAAATACCACAAACAAATGTTAAGTCTAGTTAATGATAAGCATGCTAAAGTATAGGCAGAAGTGTACTGTCTGTATTAATTTTAAAATGCTTCAACAGGAAATAAGAATTGATGCATGCGGAGAAGATATAGACAGATGGATAGACAGGTGATAAACAAATAGAATAAAATATTAATGGAAGAATCTAGACATGGGTATACTGGTATTATCAAATTCTTCCAACTTTGACGTATGCTTGGAAATTGCATTGTAAAATCTTGGGGGAAATAAAATTAGGTTATAATGGGATTTTTATATCACAAAATCACCTGTGCTATTTTCTTTCCAACAGAATGTTTTCCAACATTATAAAAGCTATTTCTTACCCCCAGTTGTTAACTTAAATAGGTACACTATCCTGCTACCCAGTAAGCTATCTCAAATAATTTTGTTCCTTCGTTCAGTTATATAACTACCACTTTTTGGTCACTGTCAAATTTGTGTATATGTGAGGCTTGTAATGAGATGAACAGCTCCTTTGAATGTGACTAAGATTTTTAAAGTTTTCATTTGTGCTTAATAATGAAAAAGATTAAATAATCTTTCAAACAGAATTTTTCAATTCTTTAAAAGCCTTTAACAAGTCCAGTATGCATGAATTATCCTGTATGGTTGGTTCTATAATTTAAAACTCTACTTAAGTTGTGCTGAATCCTGCCACAGTTGGGATATAAAAAGGGTCCCTGAGTTAAATTTGGGAACACTTTGGAGAGATTAGAAAACTCCCCTACAATAACAGAAACTGCCAGGAGGTGACAAGAGGGCAACACCTAGCATTTCAAAGCTTGCTAGTTTTTAAAAATCACTTTCTCTTCATTTAACATCAGAAAATTATATGTATATAAAAACATAAGTATAATAAAGTACATACACTTATGGAATAAAGACATTTGCTGAATTGTAGTCATGTAGTTCAAACAACATTAAACTTCAAATCAGATATGAGTTTCAGTCTAGATTTTCACAAACTAGTTATGCATCTATGAGAAAGCCAGCCTCACACATTTCCTTACCTATAAGATGAAAACAACTGGATTAGATGGTCTCTTAAATACAATCCCAGCTCTTAGATTCTATGAATTTCAGTCATTGTAATCTCTGCATTCAATCCAAGCAGGTAGATCTACCTCTAAAATAGACATCAAATCAGCCTACTTACTGTCCCCACTGCTACCCTCTAGTTCAAGCCTCCATCATCTCTTGTCTGGCCAACTATTAATTCCATGACTAGTTTCCCTGCTTCCAATCTTGTCCTTCTCTCATCTGATATCCACAAAGCAGCCAGAATAATCTTTCCAAAAACCAATCAAATTATGTCACTAACCTGCTTAAGATCCTTCACTAGCTTTCCTCAAAACCAAAAAACTTCAAACATCTTATTATAGCCAGATATAACCCCACCTTTTGCCTACATCTCCCAACTCATCTCATTCTACTTTAGCCCTCGTTCATGATGCTCCAAGCGCACAGACCTTTTTTCAGTTCCAAAAATATGTCCAGTTCTTCCCAGCCTCAGGGTCTTTGCATTTGCTGTCCACTGCCTGGAATGCTCTTCCCACAGTTCCTCAGATGGCTGGCTCCTTTCTCAACCATCAAGTCTCAACTGAAATGTCATCTCCTCAAAGAGCGCTACCCTGTTCACCTTATTAAAGCCCCAGTTACTGGTCTGGCATGGCACAATATTTCTTTCACAGAATATCACAATCTGTGATTATTTCATTTATTTGTCTATCTATTGTCTCCCTCTCAACCCCAACCCAACTGGACTGTGTGCTCCACGGAAACAGTCTTTTTATCTGTCTTGTTCACCATCATAACCCTAGTGCTATGTCTGATACTGTAGTACAGTGTCTGACACAAAACAGATGTTCGAAATATTTATTAAATAAATTAACAACAATGGAGGGATTAGCTCCTAGGGTCAGCAGACTAAATATTGGCATGAGTATAAGAAGAGCTGTGCTTGGAAGCCTTTTCCGCACGAACAATCTGCTCCCTGAAGTTTATGAAGCTATTTCTCTTTCTTTCTCCCCCACCACTGATGATTCTCTTAAAAACAACTTATGTTCTAAAAAACTTTTTGAGATATCCCTCTGTGAAAATATTAAGATATAAGATCATGGTTCTTTATCCTATTTGTACATTAGAATAACCTAGAAGAGCTTTTAAACACTGCCGATGCCAAAGACCCCACCAAGTGAATCAAAATGCCTGAGGGGTGGGGAGGGCACTGTCTTGAGTATTTCTTAAAAGAGCTCCCAGGTCATCCTAATGTATATCCTGAGCCACTGGTGTGGCCCAAGAGAGAAAAAGAAGTAGGGTAGGAATTCATCAAAGCTGGTTTTCTGGATGCAGTGCTCAGGAGTTCAGATCCTGAGAGAAAGCTTCTGGCACACTGTTTGCAGGGCTCAGATGTGAATGTAGAATGGGGATGTTTTCCTCGGACATAGGGAACTCCCAAGTTTTAAGAAACAGTCCACCCATCTGAGTATGAACTGGGTATGGGATGCTTGAAAACAGAGTAGCTCCACCCAAGAGCAACTTAATCTTTTCTCTAACTAACTGGGGGGTACGGATGAAGTTGGAGATGGATAAATGGAGGAGATGGATAAATGGAGCAGTGACCAAGCAAAGGAGGGTACAGAGAAGGACAGACACGGGGGAATTCTGCCAAATGAAGTGACTCCTGAACACCAATCCAATCAACCTTGTAACATTCAGGCCATCCCAATGTTATTCTCACCTAGTCACCCCAACTTGTTGGACAGTTTAGTTAATCCTGAAATCCTACCTCTTCCAAGAAGTCTTCTCAGCTAGATTAGATATGACAGTGAAAAGTACAATGGACTAAGAGTTAGAGAACCTCAGTTTAAACTTTGGTACCTCCTAACTGTGACCTTGGGCAAGTAACCTCACATCTCTGTGTACCAGTTGCCTCATCTGCAAAATGGGGATAATAAAATCCATCTAATAGGGTTGCTCTAAGAATTAAAGAATTACTGTATAGAAAATGCTTAGAACTGTGGGTGGTATGTAAATAATAACTGATAGCTATTATTATCATTATTATTGAAGATTGAAGATTTAAGGGCTATGTTTCCCCTCATATGTATCCACTTACATTTGCTTCAGCCCTTACCCACAAGTGTATTTTCCCTTCCATTTCTCTAATGAGTCCTTTCAATCTCCTTTGTTGGCTATTAAGCACTAGTGTTTCCCAAATTTCCCTTTATCCACCCCACCTCCTTTTTTTTAACCCTCTATGTGGTTTCCCTGGGGGACTCTCATCTGCTTACTTCTATGACTTCAAGGATAGCTAACAATTCTAAAATACTGTTTGAAGCCTCCAAAGCCCCCTACCTCCTGTCCCTCTTCCTTGGACTTCCTGTCACAATTACTTCACGCTTCACATGTTCCAAAATGAGCACTAGAAACCTGGGCTGCCGCCATAGACTCCTCTCTCCCTCACCTATCAAGTCCAATTAGACATTTAACTTCAGCTCATAATGGACCCATTCCCTCTTCTCTATATTCCCTGTCCTGCACTCATTCAGGCCCTTATTATCTCCTGCTTGAAATGGTGCAACTGCAGTCTAACTGATCTTCTCCATCTACACAGGTGCCAGAGGGAACTTTCTTAAACAAAAAACTGATGGTGTTATTCCCTGCCTTAAAATCCTGCAGTGACTCTCCACTACCTCAAAGAGAAAGTTGTGACCAAGATCCTTCATGACATGGCCGCTGACTCTTCAACCTCAACTCCCACCATCTTCTCTCCAGGGCTCTACACTACAGAAATATCAAGCAACCTCCAGTCTTCTTACATATCAGATGCTATTCCACGCTGCCAAACTGAATATGTTATTCCCTTGGCTTGACTATCCTCCCCCTACATTGTTGTATTCACCTTTCAAGAGTGAACTCATGTTTAACTTCTGTGTGAAGCCATTCCTCTCTCCTCACTGATGACTTCAACCTCAGACCTTCTGTGTACTGGGTACAAACCTGGATAACTCTCACACACTTAAATTACTGGGCTACATGCTTATGTATCCTACAAGAAAAGACCCGTGTCTTTCATTTGTTTATGACCAATTCTAGAAGAATGCCTGGCATAAAGTAGCATCAATAAATGTTACTGCATGAAGGAATTAATGTATATGTCCTTGTCCAGCTTTGCATCTGTTTCCTGTTTGTAGTTAGCTGATAAAATTGTACAGCGTTTTATAGTTTACAAAACACTTTAACTTGTATCATTAAATTCATGCATTCAACCAGTACTTACTAGATACCAATTCTGTTGGAGACCACTGGAGTTATACCATCAGGAATGGAAGGGGGTAGGGTTACTCTGGAAAGGATGATCAAGGAAGGTCTTCAAGCTAAAAGCGAGTAAGATCTAGAGGATGGAAGGTGTGGGTAGAGAGAGAGAACAGCCTTGAAACCAAAGCAAGAAGGCCAGTGTGGCTAGAGCAGAGTAAGATAACCTGATTTATTCAACTGAAGCTTCTTAACAAAAGAGACAGGACAGATAATCTACAATTAAAACATTAAGTGATTTTCCCACTGATGAAGGAAGCTAGTAGCAAAACCTAGCCTCGTCATTCCAAGCCAGGCTTTTCCCAAATCATCAGTTGTCTATGACATCTATAGGATAGCCCTGCACTGTCCAATACAACATCCATTAGCCATTTGAGCACCTGAAATATGGACAGTCTGAATTGGTATGCGCTATAAATGAAGTACACACAGGTTTTAAAGACATACTATTAAAAAAAAAAGTAAACCATCTCATTGATAATTCTTCATAACTATTAATGTTAAACAATATTTTGGATAATTATGTTAAATATTATTAAAAATTAACATCACCTGTTCTTTTTACCACTAGAAAAATATTACATATGTAGTTTGCATTATTTCTATTGGACAGCACTGGTATACACCCTTTCAGGATGTCTGTCAAACTAAAAGTTCCCAGAGATAGTCCCTTGAAAATTCTCCACAGTGATGAACTTTACACCACCCTCCCCACTCCCAGTTTGAACTCCAGCTCTAAGGTCCATGTAGCATAACTTCTTTGAGTCTCAAGGGGTGCTCATGTTTCCAATGAGACTAGCAGCCACCTCGAGGGTCTTTTATGAAAGTTAAGTAAACGGTAAACATTCCTGGGCAACGCCAGCAGCCCCCTAACGGCCAGCTCACCCGGTAGCTCTCGAAGGCCTCATCGATGGGCGCCAAAGTGTGGGCCTGGTGCTCCTGGGACTCCCTACACACCAAACACACGGGCCGCTGGTCGTCCTCGCAGAAGAGCCGCAGTGGCTCCCCGTGGCGACAGCACAGGCTGGAGGACACTGGGCCCTGGCGCCCCCGCCGCGTCTTCTCCACGAGCCGGGCCAAGGCCCAGTTGGGTCGCAGTGAGGCGGAAGACGACAGCTGCCGGCACTCGGGACAGGGGAACGAGCCACCGCCCAGTGCCCAATTCTGTTTCAGGCAGCCGCGGCAGAAGTTGTGACCGCACTCGATGGACACTGGGTCCTTGAAATAGTCCAGACAGATGGGGCAGGTCAACTCCTCCTGGAGATCTTCGGCTTCCATGACGTTTCTCTTCCCCAGAGCCCAAATCGGGTCTGACGCGAGGCGCGGGAGCGGCCTGCAGGCTGAGGGTGGGCCTGGGAGGCCCGCGGCCTTCGGACTCGCAGCGGCCGCCTCCTGCGGCAGGGGAGAGGGTAGGGCTGGGGTTTCGGTCCCGGTGCGTGCCCGCCGGGCAGCAGCCCTTCCCCGCGCCGGCGTGGCTGGGCCGCAGTGCGCGAGCACAGGAGCCGTAGGGTTTCCGCGCGCGCCACCCCGGGCCTGGCCGCGGGGCATGACAGGACCCCGGCTGCTCCTCGGGCCAACAACAGAGATGCGGAAACCGCACCCGGAAGCCTAGAGAGGAAGCCAGGAACCCAGGGCTTTGGGAGGGTGCGGGAGGGCGGTGACTACGCCTGTGCAGCAGCCTCAGGCGGAGCTAAATAGGGAGGTGCTAATTTGGTTTGTCCTCAAGGTTGGGAGATGAGGTTAAGGTTGCTCTGGTAATTTAAGTGTTAGAGTCCTAGGAGAGCGGCACTCAGGAGAGCGTTCAGGGCGTGCCGGGGGACCGAGGGATCTGTGTAGCTGGGCCTGGAGGGAGCTAAAGAGGCGCCCGGCCAGTTAGGCTTGCTCTTTCTGATATTTTCGCTTTTTCGTTCAGCCTCATTCTCCAGGGAGAGGAATCTCAGCCTCCAACTCCAAGGTCTAGTTGAGTTCCTAGAAAAGCAAGATTTCCGATTGCCTCCACAAAGCCCACCAAATCTCCTGGTGTTCGGTGATGCGAGCAAGAAAGGAAGTGTTCAGCCCCATGAGCTAGTGGGAAGCTATCGGATCGTCTTGCCACCCTGATCTCTCTTCTTCCCAAGCATAGGAAATAGACTCCAGTAGAAGAAGCCCATTCTCAGGATGGGCACACTCCCCCAGTGCAGATAGGGGTTCTAATGGTTAAATTAGGGGAAGGAATCTAGGGTTAGATGGTCTTCCCCAGTTTTGACTTCCCGCCAGTTTTAGGTAGTTCAACTCTCAGGAGGTCTCTGGTCTATGGGATGCTCTAAGCCAGCTCTGAGTGATCCTATGAGTGGCTGTCATCTAAGATGCTGAGAAGGAGCAGATCCTATAGCTGCTACTGCTGAAGCAGTTCTCTATCCTCCTGCCTGAGGAGGTCAAGACCAGGGTAGAGAGCAAGGCCTGGAGAGTGGAGCTGAAGCTGTAGCTCTTGTTAAGGACATTGTGAAAGACCTGATAGGAGTGGGAGAGTGGGTGAAAAGGAATTGAAGTTTTTTAAGTGGGAGTGATTAAGATTCAGAGCACAGATACATTGCCTGTTGGTACCCAGCTTGAAGTCAGCAGCCATTTTGCTATCCCAAGGAACATTCATTGAGGATTTCAACAAACAATATGTTTGCTTGTTTCAGGGAATTATCTGTTTCTCCTCAGTGGATTTATGATCTTGTGTTTCAGAGGTGCTTTAAAAAAAATTCCCATGACTACTTATGAATGAAATTTTTAATTCTCGTGTCCCAATATCAGATACTGCCTTTCCCATAATATGCTCAGTGAATAGTTACTGAATGTATAATTAAATGATTGGACAGGGGTTTCTGCAATTTATTTTGGGGGTTTTGATAAAAGTCCCACAGAATATCTAGTTTTAAATTAAATTTTTCAGTTATACAACTAAGAAATGCATTTCTTTTGTAAAATGGAATACCATATTGAGAAGGAATCTTAGTCTTAACATGGACTAAGGTGGAAGAAGGGCTCTTATCAGTTACTACTATGTGCCATGATTGTGATGTGAGTACATATCTGTATGTCTGCCTATGTGTCAAGTGACAGAAATAAGATCGTATGTCTCCTTAAGGTCCTTATGTCTTCAGTCCTCCCATATTCCTGAGATGAATGTCCTACTTTACTGAAAATACTGAGGCTCCCTAATTCATAATTTTATTCGAATGGAATTTCAGGGGACTCCAAATAGCTAAAAAGTCTTGAAAAAGAAGAATGAAGTAGGAGGACTCACATTTCCCAATTTCAAACCTATCACAAAGCTACAGTAATCAAAACATGTGGTATTGGCATAAGGATAGACATATACATCAATGAAATAGTGTTAGGGAAACTTCCTGGAGCCAAGAAGCTGGAGAAAGAGGCTGACAACTCCAGCATTACATCAAGAGTTTATTAAGGGAACTTACATACGAGGCATGTCTTGGGCAGAAGCAAGAAGACAGAGATACTTTCCATGCCACGTGACAGTTACTAAAGGATGATACAGAACAGAGCAGAATGGATAGGGGCAGTAGGGCATGACCAGTCCCAGACAAGGGGAAACTGCCTTACATGCTTAACCAAGGCAGGGCAAAGGCCTGTTTCAGGAACCAGCGTGCCTGGGGCATAAGGGAAGGGTTGATCAGACATTCTTTGAGGAGATTTATGGGAAGCAATATCTGTTCTGGCCTGGATCAAGCTGGATCTAGCTTAAGGTCCCCAGCCATATCATGAGACAGTCTCTCCTCCACAAATAGAACTGAGCATCCATAAATAATGCCATACATCTACAAGCAATTGATTTTCAACAAGGGTGCCAAACCGTATTTTATGAAAGAAAATAAGCTTTTCAACAAATGTGCTGTGACAACTGAATAGCCACATGCAAAGAAATGAAGTTGGACCATTTTCTCATGCCATAAAAATTAATTCAAAGACCTAAATGTAAAGCTAAAATTGTAAAACTCTTTGAAGGAAATGTGCAAATCTTTATGGCAATGGATTAGGCAAGTGTTTCTTAAGTATAGCACCAAAATTATAAGTAACAAAAGAAAAAAGTGATAAATTGGATTTCATCAAAATTAAAAATTGGGGGGCATCAAAGGACACTATCAGTAAAATGAGAGACAACCCACCGAGTGGGAAAAATATTTAGAAAATCTATATCTGATAAGGTACTAGTATTCAGAATATATAAAGAACTCAACAACAAAGATAGAAACAACCCTATTTTAAAAAGTGGGCAAAAGATTAGACATTTCTCCAAAGAAGATATACAAATGGCCAATAGGTACATGAAAAGATTTGCTCAATATAATTAGTCATTAAGAAAGTACAAGTCAAAACCACAATAAGATACTACTTCACCCCAGTAGGATGGCTGAAATTTAAAAATCAAATAAACCAGAAATACCAAGCGTCGGTGAGGATATGAATAAATTGGAACCTATTTATACATTGCTGCTGGGAATGTAAAATACTACAGCTGCTGTGGAGAACAGTCTGGCACTTCCTCCAAAAGTTAAGGAGTTACCACATGCCCTAGCAATTCCACTCCTAGGTATTTATTTAAGAGAATTGAAAACATATGTTTACACAAAAACTAGTACATGAATGTTCATAACACCAACATTCATAACAGCCAAAAAATGGAAACCATCCAAATGTCCATCAACTGAAAAATGAATAAATAAAATGTAGTATAGCTATTAGAAGAAATAATATTCAACTATAAAAAGGAATGAAGTAATGATTTATGCTACAACATAAATGAACCTCAAAAACATTATGCTAAATGAAAGAAGCCAGTCACAAAAGGTCACATATTGTATGATTCCATTTATATGAAAAGCCCAAAATGGGAAAATCGATAGAAACAGAAAGTACATTAGTGGTTGCTGACATTTGGGAGATATGGGGTTTCGAAGGTAACAGCTGAGGGTTGCAGGGTTATTTTTTTTTTTTTGAGTTGAAAATTGTGTCAATGGATGTACAACTCTAAAAGCCATTAAATTGTATACTTTAAATGGGTGAATTATATAGTGTGTGAACTATATTTTAATAAAGCAGTTTAAAAAGCAACACTATTAAGGAAGAATTCAGAATGATGTCACTTGCTTTTTTCCATCCTTGGTCAGTTGGCTGGGCTCTGGCTATAGCAGATAAGAGATTCTTTGTGAAACACTTGTGTCGCAGAAAGAAAAATTATTATTTACTAGTTGTTGCCAACGTGTCTCTTGGGGAACCAAATATCTTTCCTTAAAGATGCACCTTAATTTACTTGGAGATAATTTAGGATTCAGAAAGAGAAAATAAAACTAGATAACTGCTCTGTTGAGAATTTGAGGGCAAGGAGGGACTGAGGAGAGAGGTGCAAAAATGTGGGAGGCTACAATGCTCTTGGACATAAATGACTGAGAGACTCAAGAGAAACCTGCTTTAAACTTTGTACTGAGTCACACTCTGATGTAAACATCCCTAACTGTTACCCCGAAATCAGAAGTAGAAATCTACTGTCTTTTCTGCGTGGCATTGAGGGGTATGAATTTAAAAAGTAGGGACTTAGCCCCATATATGAGGTGCTGCAATGCTGGAGCCGATGGAGCAGCTGCCATAAATCAAGCAGAGAATCAGAATTGAGTAGAAATCAGAGTTCTCAGCAGTTCAGGGGACATAAGCCTCTGAATTCACATTATTGTTCCTAAAAGGTATGGCTGGATGTTTGAATAAATCTATATATTAAAAGACACTAAGTTATATATATGCTTGGAAGCTCAGAGTTTACGGATATGACATATGCTGCAAGTCAGGGGGATATTCAGGGGTCACAGGACCTTGAGGTTTGGGGAGCAGAGAATGTGAATCAACAAAAGAGAGATAGGTAGAGTCACTGAGACTGGAAGGAGGATTCTCTAGCAACAAGAATGCCACCAACAGTAATCAATATTTATTGTGCAGGACAAGGATGAGGCATGGTTTTATGGAGGTTTCTGCTGGCTGACTTTGAAACCAAGCCCATGAAAATTGTGATGCTGACACCAGAGAATTCTGATGAGAAGACACAAGCAGGAATTCTTCAAGGAAATGCTTTAGACAGCATGACCTACCATGGCCCTTAGAGATGCTTCAACAGCCTCTTATTTGTCATGGAGGTAAATCCCTGCTCACTGATGTTAGAAAGTAGATTCAATAATAGGGTTTCCTTCAGAGTTGAGCCAGGTGTCTTCATAATTCTGCAAAGTAGAGAATCAAGCAGAAGCTGAGACTTTTTCTAAGTGGGAAGAGATCTCAATGGAAGGACAGGGAAGTACAACTGACTGAGCACCCTGGTCCTAGTTCATTGGAGACAATCATCAGATTGATTGAGATGGAAGTTGGGTTGGGAGTAGTGGTCAGACATCTGCCTTGAACTTGGTTTTCTGCTTTGCAACATGTGAGAATTGTACTTCCTAGATGGTGAGGGACCTACTGAGGTGGGTTATCAGGACAGAGACATCAGGCAAAGAAGAAAGAGGACATTAGTGCCCTTCTCACCTGCTACACGGAACTGCTCTTTGGATTCCACCACTGGGAAGTTATCAGTTGGTTCCTTGTGTCTTCTTCTGCTCTCCGAAGTTGGGAAGTAGTTAGAAGATTTTTGCTTCCAGGTCCGCCACCATCTTCCCAAGCCCAAGAGCACAAGCTCCAAAAGAGTAAACAAAAGACAGAGCCCACTGACTCCAAACATGGTCTTTAGGAAGATCGTCTTCTCAGAGGGGCGGGAGAGATTACAGGCTACACTACCAAGGCAAGGCTCTCGACGGCATGCAAAGGAGCTGGGCATCTTGAACCCATACAGATGGTACTGCCCCCCCAAGGCCACCCCCTCAAGAACTAGTCGTACCCCCAGCTGTGCCACATAGGCCCAGAGCAGCCTAGGGCTTCCAGCCCCTGAGGCACCTGTGGTGCCCTCTCCTTGCTGGATCAGGTTCTCCTCTTCCTTCTTCACCTTTCCTGAGTCTTCCCAATGCCAGATGATGTGATATATGGTGAAACCCATGTAGAGGGCACTGGGCACAGCCACCAAGATGACCTGGAAGGCCCAGAAGCGCAGTGGAGAGAGGGGGTGGAAGGCGTCATAGCAGGCAGCCTTACAACCTGGCTGCTGGGTGTGGCACACAAATTCGCTCTGCTCATCACCATAGACCCCCGTCCCACTGGCCGCCAGCAGCAGGAGGCGGAATCCCAGGAGCACAGGAAGCAGGAGGCGCCCCACAGGGGTGGAGTGCCAGCTCTCCTCAACCACCAGCCGCCTCAGGAACCTGCCACACATCCTGTTTTGGAACAGAGGACAACGGTGAATGTAGGTGTGCTGCTCATTGTCCTTTAGGAGGAGCTCTAGGCCACCTCTTCACTCCTAATCCAAGAATAGATAAGGCAAGCCTTGCTCCTCTCCAAGGATCTGGTTGATCAAATACTAAAACTCTTACTGCACTTATTTATATAATGGAATCATCTATATAAAATAATAAAGTGTGCGTGTGTGGGTGTGGCTCTCTCTTCTGTTCCCCTCTGTACTGCTGGAGCAGAGAGGAACTCTCACTGGATGAAGACCTGGTGGGCACTTTTTCTCTCTTTCTCTCCCTCCTTCTTACCCTAAATAGGCTAAATAGTAAGAGACAAGTGTCTTCGGAAAAGTTGTTTCCCCAGGCTGCCAGGTCTGGTGCTACTGTCAGCATTATCTAAACAAAATCAATACTGACCCTGGGGGGAACATGCACTCTCCTGCTGTCTGGTTTTCTCTGACTCCATGCCCTCTGGTGTTCACAGGCGTGTCTGGCTGGCTCTGCTCCCATCACAGAGTAAAATTGAGGTTAAGGGGCTCCATGGGGATCCAGAGAAGAAAGTGAGAGTCAAGCCTTGCTTTAGTCAAATATTCTTTAGACCTAACCAGCTCAGGAAAAGGAGTGTTTAGGGGAAAGAAAAAAACAAAACAAAACAAAACAAAAAACAAACAAACAAACAAAAACCCAGCAGAATCTAGTTACATGTAATGGGGTTTGGGGTCGAAACCAGAACTGACTGTATAAAAATTCGAAATTCAACTTTCCTTTGCCACAGTTTCTTGGGCTCATATCTCCCTCGCAGTGAGAGGTGACCATGATCAGGAACATATTTCAGAAATTCCTCAATTCTTCAGACAAAATACCATCATGCTACTGGCCCAATTTGCCATCTTTATCCTTGTCATAATCAGCAGCCTTCCTCAATGTCCAGCTACTGTTTCTAACACCCTCATTCGGCTCAAATTTTTACACACATGATTCCGTTCACTCTTAGAAGACCATGCAAACCTCTTACTCCACAAAGTAAATAGAGATTTTTTGATGTGAAACCCCACAGCTACTAGTCCTTCTTCTATCATCATAGTCACTTCCAGCACCTTACAGAAACAAGTGGCCTTACACTTGTCCAAAGCTTCTTTCTCTTCTAAATTTGTATTCTTGGGTCTCTCCTTTCCAGCTTCTTCAAGGATTTGATCCCCACATTATATTTCCTATAATTCACACCACCCTATTTCCTCTTTGACTACGAACTTGCTTAGGTTCCTCCCTTTTAACTCTAATAATAATAACGTGAATTTCTAAGTTAACATGGTAACAAATGAGACATGCCTAATTTTTCTTGTATCAGCTTCTCAATTATAATACCGACAAAGATGCAAAAAACAATTTAAAATGGTATCATAAACAATAGATAAGAACAGGCCATATGCCCAAAAAAAGTAGAATGGTCCCTTCTGTGCAATTGGAAGGGATGGACTGAGATGCTTCCAAAGGTTTTAGTTGACCAGAGAAATATGTCCCCACCCACCAACTGTGAGAAACCATATTTTGAGCCACTAGGAATCAAGAGTTTGAAACTCTGCCTGCTCCTCAGTCCCTGTCTTTCTACCTTCATCATAGATTATGAAGACTCAGAAGCCTATCAGGCCACTGAAAATTCTTTTCTATAAAATTGGATTAAAATTTTTAGAAGAAACCTATTTCACTCTATAGAAAGAAGCAAAATTGTTTTCATGATTAAAGATGGCAGATTGAAGACAGAGATTTATCCTCTCTCGTTCCCAAGACACTCAAAAATGAGAGTAAAGGGACTTTAAATGTATAAACCCACACTACAAGTAGAGCAGGAGAAAGATCATCAGTACCACAACTAAAATCTACTTTGAATAGGACAGATTCTGAGGAAAACCAAATTGGGGTGCCAAAAGCACATTGGATAATTCTTCCAGAATTCAGGAGAAGAAGGTGAATAATTGAAAATAATAAAAGGTAAATTGACAAGGAAACAAAATCTGTTTTTGGATTTGAAAATCAAGACAACGATAAAACAAAATCACTAGCTTACTTATTGAATGAAAAAGCATTTAGCGAAGTGCCTGGGCAAGAAAACAAACAAACAAACAAATAAATTTTGTTTAGAGAGATATTGAGCTCTACAGAGGCCCAAAAGGAAGGTCAAGTTCCAGTGCTAGTCCTGGATTCCTCAACCTTGGTGCTATTGACAGGGCATGATAATTTTTGTTTGGGGGCAAGGGGATGTTGTCCTATGTGTTGTAAGATGTTTAGCAGTATTCCTGGCCCCTATCCACTAGATGCCAGTAATACAGCTTCTCCTCTCCCACCCAAAAATGTCTCCAGACATTGCTAAATGTCCTCTAGGGTCAAATTCACCCTGGTTGAGAACCACTGCTTTAGGGTAGCACTGGTTCATCACGTCTTCAATCTTGGCTTCAGATACCAGCTCTGTAAAACAAGACATCTGTACCAGAGCATCTCAGAGGATTTTGGGGCATGATAATCTGCCCATTTTCAGGCTGACTGCACATTCCTCTCAGTCAATCCCATCTGCAAGGATGCCTGTAGCCCCTCCCTGCCTCATAAGTCCGGGAGAGTCCCTGTGCTTAGGGAAGGCAGACCCGGGGCTCTGAGGGTTCTGCCCTGGCTCTACTGGAGAGTTACTAGACTAAAAACTAATTTGGTAAATTCTCAAATCTTGCTCTCAGCCTTCTCATTTCAAACTGCAGGCCAAACACCCTCTAAAGACATTTCCATCACATTCTCAGCAGAACTGGAATTTAACACAGAGCAGGCCTGGCATATTCCAAGTGTTGGGAATTTGAGTTGTTTCCAGAGGGCCTATCTCTGGTTCTTCTTCCTCTGTCCTGTGCACACCCTAGACCCATAGGGAGACACCCAAATATCCTCTGAGAGGCTCTGTGAACTAGGATCTCCAGAGATCACCACAGAGCTTTGGGGGTTTGGAAGGCAGAGTGAGAAAAGCAAGACTAGAGGACTTGCCCGAGAACTCCTTGGTTTAGAGCTCCCATACCTATGTCTGAGTCCCCTTCCATGTCCTTTGCCCCATGGCTGTTATCACCAAAACAACGTTTATTCCACATACATTCCGAGGTCTCACTCAGACAAAATTGTGCTCTTCTCCCAAAGTCTTTAGACCAAAGAGAGTTTCCTTTACAGCTGGTGCCTAAACACAGCCCTTCCTCCTCCCCCTATCTGTTTCAGCCATCCCTGGCCCACCTGTCTCATTGTCTGAAACCTACATCCTCCTCCTACAAACATGTCTGCAGCTTTGTCCTCAGTGGCCAGAGCTCCCAGGCCGAACTCCAGGATCTAGGGAGCTGAGAGCTCAGCATTGCTGACAAAGCTTGACTCAAGGAATGCCACTCTGTTTCTAGGACTGAAGAAATAATTTGCAAATAAATCTATTTGGGAGAGAGTTGGTAGGATCAGAGCCCTGTCAAGATTTTAGCTGGAAGAGCAATACCTGTGAGTTCAAGAATTGGGAGAGAAAGGAGAGCTCAGATTTTAAGGGGATTTTCAAATATATAAATAGATTTTTCTTAATTGCATCATGATTTTGGTAAGAATTTTTCTATACATCTTTATTCTTTTCAAGAAAAATTTCATGATTCCCTTGGTGGCAGAATCCATCTCAGATAGCTAAGGTGTGAAGGAGGAATTTCCACTTAGGACAATGCTGTACCCGGCTCACTGCTTCCATCTCGCCCGACCTGACCTGGGAAACATTCTAGATTCTTTTACTCAAAGTGTGGTCCAGTTGCAGCAGTACTGGTATGCAGACTCTTGGGTCTCATCCCCAGCTTAGCAAATCAAATCTGAATTTTAATAACATCCCCAAGTCATTGGTGTATGCATTAGAGTTGGAGAAGGCAGTCTAGGGCTCCAGGCAGCAACCCTCCACAACTGCGCCCTGGCCCTGTGCCAGCCCAGCTACCCTCTGCCCCAGCATGAGCACTCACCTGGCAGCTTCCAGCAGAAGTACCAACAACAGAAGAAGATTGCAACTAAGCGTCCTCAGGCTGGAGCCTACAGGGTCTCAAGCTCTCCCACAGGCCCTGCCTCCTGCCACAACCCACTCCTCCCCCTCCCCTTTTCATTCCTGGCAGCCTTAGTGAAGAGTGAAAGAATTGCAGCAAGAGGAGCAGGCAGCCCTTCTGTTAAAGAATAGGCTGTGGAGAATAACCCTCTGTTGTTGAGGGTGAAGGGAATGTCTCCTAAGTGAACTGAAAACAGGGATTTTCAGATCATCTGAAAGGGGGCAGTGACCTTAGCATAGTTCCAAAATGCAGGCTTGCCGGCAACAACAGATAAAATTTCCTTAATTTTATCTCAAGATGTCTCTTAGCTGAGAGAAATAGCACAGGCTTCCCCCTACAACATGATGGGCATCTGCTCCATGTCCCCTCAGCAACTCAAGGAACCCAGCCCCACTCTACCAGGCCCAGTGAGAACTGTGACACTTGCCTTTATACCCATTCCTGCCCCCATTGCTAGAGCCAGAATCCCCTCTAAAGATATGGTGGAGAATGGAAAGGGACAAGGCTGGGCTAATAAGTGGGTGGTTGAAGAGAAAGGGATCTGTTTACTCTGTTGCATGCAATAGCTCCCAGAGCCAACATTGTACTATTCAAGGAGGAGATTTGGAGAGAACCTCACTTCCAGATTCTGCCCCTGTGGATATTTGGGGCATCATTCTACTATTGTCTAGCATTTAATATTGTTATGGAGAAGTATAAGTCCAAATGGATAGTCTTCACCTTTTAAGTGATTTGACCTTTTTGACAGTTTGCCAAATGGATTCTTTTTTTTTTTTTTTTTTACCTTTGAAGCTTGTTCACTCTTCCAAGGGATTCTATTAAGCACAACATAAGATAATCTCGTATTGGTTCTCTCTTGGACATGTTCACATCTGGTCCACAGGAAATAGTTATGCAGCCTTAGAGCCACC